GTCTTAATTACAGATGAGGATATCACACATTTATTTTGCAATGTGAATATCACTATATATATTTTTTTCCCAATTTGTGAGGAAAAAATTCCAGCCAAGTGTAGCTTGCTTCTGGTTAGCTGGTGTCATAATGGTGAGAAAAGGTAGGAAAGGGAGGGAAAAAAGTGGTTTCAGGTAAGATGAAGGCTGAGATTGGTGTGATATATTTGGCCATGAACTGGTTAAAAGACAGGAGTGCAGAGCCTCCAGGCAAGGCAGTGAAACAGATGGACAACTTTGCCCAAACTCTTGCTCAAAGAGGGAAGTGCTGGAGAATCTGTGATGAGAGAGATATAAATGAATATTCCAGGAAACCGGTAGGATTTGGGCTGAATCTTTAGCTGGTGCAAAGTGGAGTTCATGGAGCACTGAACTGAGAGTTGGACCTGTTGAACTTTTCCTATCTCTCCACTAAATGAAGTGGTGGAGACAAAAAAAGCAGTGTTGCTCCTGCCCAGGTGTGTGAACAGCAAAGTGTCTGCAGAGATAAGGGGAGAGCAGAGAGAAGATATTCCATATGGGGGATATGCAGCAAGACAAACCAGGACACCACAGAATGCTTTGCAAATGTATTCCCTGCCTTAAATAAAACATTTTTTCTGCTAAAAGAAACATTTCAAGAAGATAACCCAAAGCCAGACTGGCTGCAAATCACTGAGGTAACCACAGGGCAGCCTGTTAGAAATGTTGAGGATACCTTCAGCCCTCCTTGGGCAAGGTAAGGCAGCTCTTTCCACCCCTAGACTGGATGTGCAGCTGGCAGCCAGTTTTTGTGCTTCCACTGCATTCAAGGCATGCAGAAACATTCCCTCCCATGCCATACAGTCTTTTATTGCTGCTGGGCTGCTAAAGGATTATCCTTAATTCAGGTGATTTGCAGAGCATTCCAGTAACACTCTCTCACTGAGCCCTGTGCAAGAGATAACGATGAAAATGTATTTCAGACTGGAAAAAAGCTTCCTATCTCTTCCCCAGTCAAAAGTAATTCCACAGCAGCAAGGTACTGTACTCTGAGATGGATTTTAATCTGCCTTACACCAGTTGAAATTAGAGAAACTTCAGGTGGAATCAGTACAGTTGTGGTAACATAAATCAAATCCTTTTTCAGCTCTGCATGAAAGGAGAGATTTTTATTTTTTTTTTTTCCCAAATAAAGGAGGATTGAAAGGCAGAATTCTCTTTCCCTACATATCCCTTCCCTGAATGTACTGATGAATTTCAGGTAGAATGAGTTAAGACAGGGCTGTGCACAAAGGGGATCAAGTAATGTTGACAAGAAGTAGCTGGTGACAACAGCAGTTAATACCAAGGAGGCTGAGAGAGGATTTAGTGGTTATGGCACTATTACACAGGCTGCTGGAGATAAGGCAGCAAGGAGGCAGCAGGAACAGAGTCAGCAAAAGACAAAAGGAATGAAAGGAGCAGCTTAGCCATTAGGAGAGCAAAACCACTTGGAGGTGTTTGTGCCCTTCACCTGTGGGCTTGGCTGTGGTGGCAGCACAAGAGGCTGTGCCACGACAGGAAAATGGAGCCCTGCAGGTGGGAAAAATATTTATTTATAATGTTCTATACAGCCAGGCAGCTGCATGGCCCCCTCACCAGCATTTTGCCCAGTTTGCTTGGCACTCTCACCATACCAGTGCATTCACTGGTGAAGGATTTGTTTCCTGTCCCCATGGTGGTGCCCACAGGGAGCAGCCCTGTGACTCTGCCACTCTCTTTCCACTCCTGATATCACACAGAGGCTTTGTGCTGCAATTTACTCCTCCAGCCTGTGTCAGGAGATTGCTTTTCATAAGGTCAGTGGCATTTTCAAAGAGCAAAGCAACAGATTTTTGCAGGATGCAGCTGCCACGTCCTGAGCAGGTGCCCAGATGCCATCGCCAGCCAGGCAACAAGGTGACAGGAACATTGATGTACTGACATGGAGCAGGAAAAAAAAGAATTTCTAAGTGCTTTTGAACTGCTTGGAACTCTCCCTTAGCCAACAGATTCAAAGAACTGGAGACAACAAGCACAAAACTGTGCTGAATAGGGATGAAAGAAGCATGGATTCAATGCTTTCACCCAGCTGAGTGCATCAAGCTGCAGCTCTGTGACAACCCCCTGGTCCTGGCACTTGGGAACTGCAGACAAAAAGCCCTGGCCCTGCTGACCAGCTCACACTCACAGAGGGGACAGGCTGCCAGCCCCAAGCATGTGTTCTGCCCAGAGGATTGATAATTTTCATCTCTCTTTTTAACAACCCAGAGGCCAAGACCTCCCTGGAGTTCGGTATTTATCTGCACTAAAGAGTAAAGTTTTATTTTTTAATAAGGAAAAGCAGGTGGAGGCTTCAAAGCTGTGGCTTTTATCAACAGAACATCTTTTTTCCTATTTACTTGTTTGTTTAAGTGTGAGTATTTAGGGACTACCAAGAAAGAGATGCCCATCCATGTGTACCCAGCTGTCTTTTGCACGCAGAACAGTTTGGAAGATTTTACCTTGCGAGAACAAATACTCACCTCTTGTAACTGAGTAAGAGTATTCTTTACCTTCATTACAAATAACTGTTCAGCATGGAGATTTCAAATGTACAACACCAAGAGCAACACTGAACGAGGTTTAAAAGAGGGGACAATATCCCACTTTCTTTTTGTCTCCCTGTTTTTAACATGTGCCAACTACCCCAAAACCTGTTCTGGCAGCTGGGGACCAGCAAGCCAAATCTGGGCACGTGGATTTCCACCAAAAACCTTTGATCCTCATGCCTTGTGCTGGTCAGGGTGTAGCCATCACTGTGGCCATGCAGGTTTTTAGCATTGTGGCCACAGTGACCCTGGGGCTGTTCCTGCTGGCAGCAAGCTGCAGAGCAGCCCCAGCAGAGCTGAGGATGAGGCTCCTGGATGTGGTCATGCAATGGTTTACATTTGGCACGAGTTCCCCTCAGCTCTGAGCAAAGCTGTGCCAGCAGAGCGGTGGGAGCTGCACTGCATTTAAATGAGAGCCTGAAAAGAGCTCGGAGCTGCTCAGATGGCAAAGACATCTGCATCAACATCCTCAGCCCAAGGATATGAAAGGCACACATCTCCAAGTGCCAGGGCACAGTGTTAAGTTCACCAATGGCATGCAAAAATCAAGACAATACAGTCTTGGCTACTGATCTGTTGAATCTGTTAGCAAAAAGAACCTTAAAATAAAAACCACCCCAAGAAACCATTGAGCACAGATGACTTCAATGAGACTCTCCCCATCTCCTGCAGCAAGTTCATTTCCCACAGAGAATAATTGACAGAGAATGGCAGTTGCAACCCTTGTGTGTGTGTGAGAGAGAGAGAGAGACTGTCTCTGTATCTCAAAGCATATTTTTATGAGGTTCTGGAAAGAAGCTGGTCTGGGATAATTGTTGCTGGAGACACTGAGAGGCACTGAAAGCACCAGCAGGCATTTTTTGACTAAACCCAAGAAATTCGTAAAATGTAAGACACAGTGTGAAAGGAGGGGGGAAAAAAAAGAGAAGAAAAGAAAAAAGAAAGCCCACTAACTTCCCCCAAACCCAAACTCTGCAGTTGTGAAGCCAAAGGAGCCCTCTGAAGACAGACAGTAAAGTCGACTCCCTGCAACGGAGAGTTCTTGCAATAAGAGAACACACAAGTGAGAATTTTTTTTTCTTTCCTCATGACCTGGAAAAAAAGTCTTTGATATTCTGAAGGGAATTAGGGAAAAAAAAAATTGAAAGTGAGTGAACTTCACTAACAGCCTTCTCCCCATCCCTGCCCCTTGGCAAAAGGATATTTTCTGACAGAATACTCTCCTGTTTGAAAATGCTTTTTGCCTGCTTTTAATTATTTTTCTGGAAGTTTTCTATCTCCTTTCTGAAGGCTTATCTGTCTGATTTATTCATATTTCTTAATGTCTGGAGTTTTACCTTATAGACAACAGCAAAATTAATTGTGTGTCTGGGAAAGGGGAGTGGAAATGTGTGGTGCTTGGGAAGGCCAGCACAGGCAGAAGATCTCTAGCAATGTGTTAAATCTATAATACTTTACAATACAATATTTTAAAAGTAACAACTTGAATCAGTAATGCATTTTGCTTAATTGCTTCTGGTAGGTTATTACTTAGCTGGAAAATTCAGGAGTAACTAACAGGAGTTCTCTTAGCAAGGAGAGAGAAACCTCAGCCCTTAGATATTTTTCTCTGCCTCCAAAAGCTACCAAAAAGGAGATATATCCATATCCACAAAAACGTTTGCCTTAGCTTATGAAATAGAGGTAGATTTAAAATCTTTCCTCTGCAGCACTTAGCAAGTGAGCTTATATGCTATATGGGGAGCTGAGCAGCACTTTTCCTACATAGATTAGCACACAGGAAATTTTCTTTTCTTTTTAATTATTCTTCCCACATATAATTATGTTTGAGGTCCCCTTTCATGCTGTGAGTGGGTAGAGGACACCCTGAGAGTGGGAATGCCTCACTCCACAGATTGTGAGTGGTTCCTCAGCAGTGCTGCCTCACAGCAGATTTTGGATAACACATGGAAACAATTCAAACTGGCATCAGCTGCTAAAGTGGCTACAGCTGCCCATTAAAAAGTAATTGCTTTTCACTGCCATTAAAAAAATTCATTTGATTTTTCATCTTTGCTCTACAGTTGAGACTCTTTTATGCACCTGTCAGTATCATGATGTTGCCTGAAGAATGAAATTTCCTCCTAGCATCTGTTTCAGCTGATTGAATATTCTCTTACTGTATAAGATGAGTCCATTGTCTGATGAATGCATGGGATTTAATTTCTGAAAAAGATGTCAGGGACTCCTAAGCTTGTGTATGCAAATTCTTTACCTCTGTGAAAGAGCCATCATCTTTGCATGTTGATGGATCACTTTCAAGGGACAAGGCAGATAATTAATTTATTACATATATATTTGGTTGAAAATATAAAAAGGAGATTTAACAGAGAGAACAATTAAGATGATGTGAAAAGTTTACAGAATTAGGAGTGCTGGCAGTGCAGATTGGGTTTCCTCACAAAGAGCCTTTGTCAGGGACACATTGATATTCTAGGTAAGTCCAGACACTTCTAGGGTTTTTTTTTGTTGTGACTTTTTATTCATGGTTTACTTTAGATTATCTTTTCTCCTTTTTTCCTTTTTTTTTTTTTTTGGTTGTCTGAGGTTTTACAGTAGCTGCTCTGAGATGTACAAATTACAGAGCTAAACACAAAATGAAGTGGAAATGGGAAATTAGTTTACTGTGCAGTACACTCTGGCTGATGGATGGCTACAGTTCACTTTCAGCTTGCTTTGAAAACAATTCTGCTTTAAAAGTAATCTTTGTGAGCTGACTTTCCTTTTCACTCTCCCAGAAAAGAAAGAACAAAAAACCATAATAAGGCTTGTTCTTAACTTGAATTGACTCGACATCATTACTTTGAGATAAAACCCGGGCTCAGACAAGGCAGTTTGGCACTTTAGCCCAGGTTGCCACTGTAAATTAGAGCTTTCCTGAGGAGACAGCCCCAGGCTGGTGTAAATCAGGAGCAGCAGCCCAGGGGCTGGGAGAGCACCTCTGATCCAAACAAACCCAGGGAATAGCACAGCAAAGGAGGTTGCTGTGGCTACAGAGGGAAAAAACCCAAACACCCCAACTTTTCCAGGAGTTTTCCCACAAATCAACAATGTCCAGTCCTGGTGGGTTTAGCAAACCTGCTTCAAGCTGGCATTTAAATGTGAATGGCTGGGCAGGAGACCTGACATCACACAGCCCCACCAGGCTCAGATTATTTTGGTTGCAGCCTCTTTGCCTGCCCACCCAGTACCAGAAACTTTGGGTAATATGGCCCCAAAATGGCCAGAGCCAAAGCAGCTCCATCCTGGCTGAGCAATCCAAGGATTAATGCACTGCTTAGTGCTACAGAAAATGTTCTGAATTAATGCCAAGCTGCTGCCTGCCCTGCCCTCACAACTGGATAAGCAATTCTGTCTCTCAAGGCTGTTTGACAAAGCTTTAGACCCATCCTGCATGTCCAGGAGGTGACACAGCTGCAGGGATATGAAAAAATACTCTGGCTGCAGTAAAAGCAGCTAAGAACAGTTCCTTGGGGCTCTCCAAAACCAGATTTATTTTTTTAAATCACCACAAGTATCAGCATTCCAACATCAACCTCGTGCATTGCGGAATAATGCAAAAATTTCCTTTTGAGATTTAAGTGCTGTGGGCAGGTTATGGATCTGGTTTTTATTAAAACAATAGGGATTTTTCTTCATATGCTGATTCATTCAGTTTTCTTTCTGGTTTCATAGAAGAGAAAGTGCCGGAGACAATTACAGGCCAGCTGCCTGGAGGGCTCAAGGCAGGCTGTGGTTGTTGTGGGGAGTGCAAGGGGTTCTTTAGCCACATGGTGAATAATCCTGTATAAAATTGGAATAATAGACTGATTTTAGTTGGAAGGAACCTTAAAGAACCTCTCATTCCAAACATCTCATGTGGTCAGGGACACTTCTCCCTAGACTAGGTTATTACTGAATGCCTATTTCCTCTATTTGATGCTTAAAACAACATTTTTAGGTGATTGCTTAACAGTCTTACCACTGATAACAAGAGTGACAAACTCCTACACCAAAAACTTCATACCTGCTCACTGATTTTTATCCAAATCTTTTGCCATAACCACATGATCCACCCTCCACCTCAAAAAAATCCCCAAGCTGAAATGGATGCTCAGGTCCTCACTGCCAAATTGTTCCCCCTAGAAATAAATGCTGCTCTGGGAGGCTACAGCAGAGCTCCTGGTAAATGAAAGTGGGAAAATCAGGGAATGGCAGCAGATTGTTCCCAACCAGGGGCAGTTTATCACTGGGTTTGACAAGGGGACTGCTGGCAGGCAGTGTGTACCCACAGGGGAGGTGAGGTAATGCAGGCAGGAGCATTAAGTTTCCATGGGGTCACGTTTTCATAGCTGATGGCACAAAATGCAATTAGAGAGGGAGAAAAATTAGATTTAGTGACTTCTCATCTATAAACACAGGAGCTGGAGCTGCATTTCAAAGCAGTGCACAGTGAGATGCAAATGGCTGAGTGGCTGCTTCATTTGAGAGACACGCTCCTCGAGTCTTCGGCCAAGATAAGGAATCAAGGGCAGTTATCTCAGTGTGGAGGAGATTGAAGATTAGAGATCTCTTTTAAAATATTCATAGAATGCTTGAAGCATTCCATCAATGGATATCAGCAGTCCCTGGATAAGATTTCATTCTGCAATACAGATTCTGATGATTTTATATTCTTATTGAGGACCAGGAAGGGAAGATGGTTCCTCCTTTGTACCTCCTTGTTCTCCTCCAACTTCTGTCTGAAATGAATGCTTTTCCTACAAAGTTATTACATCATCCACTTCATTAAATGATGACCTAACCCAGCCTTTTTAATGTCCAACACCTATGTGGCAACTAAATTTATTCTTCAGTTTTAAAAGGAAATAAATTGTTCTGATTTTATCTTGCTCTACGACTTTGAGAAGCTGGTGTCTCCAAGTTGGTAATCTGCAAAACTCTGCTCTAACCTCTGAATTTCTAGGAGCTGCAGCAATGATTCTTAACCCGTGTTTGGATTTTTACGAGCTACAGCAATGATCCTTTCTGACAATGATGGGAAAAATGTTTATTTTTGTCTAAAATCACGTTCAAGGAAGGAGTAATTTGGTTATATGATGGCAATACCTATTTTTATATGGCTCTATTTTCAAAAAATGGTATTCTCATCATGCTTAAATAAAAACAAATATTAAAACATAAACTTCCAAGCCCATTAATGTTTCTTTGTTTTTAATGGAAGAGGAGAATCTGCCAATCCTTTGTCAATCCTCTGCTTGGCTTCCCTGAGAAATGAGATTATATAAAGTATTTCTATCAGGGTTTAAGTTATGTCTGAAATAATAGTTGTGAGGTTGTGTTATCTGAAAGGGGAGGGAAAATAATTGCTTTAACCTCGAGTAGAAACCATTACATTGGGGATGTTTAATGGGACTTTAACCACATAAGAGTTAAATGTTTGATTCCAGCTCTCTGTCTGTAGGAGCAGGAAATTAAGGAATAGTTTTACAAGGCTATTCATCTCACCTCAAGATAGATAACCAAAGCAGGAGCCTGGATCCTACCTGTTTCCAGTGAAAGAGTTTCTTAATGAAGTATGACTTAATTAGTTGGTATTTGACGTCTGGCTGTGGGATAAATCCTACCAAAGTGAACATTTTGAAAAGCCAGGCTGAAACCACATCACAAGGAATATTCACATAGACAGGAAGACATGTATAAATCAGACAACTTTTCCTCCTTTGCAGACATCATCACTCACAAATCATCTTTAATGTGTGTTATAAAAATAATTAATGGCCCAATTATAACTTATTTTTTCCCCACAGTACTTCAAACACCTAATGTGTGTAGGCATGCTCAGAAAATCCCAGAAAGTGCCTGTTTGCATCTGGAGGAGCCTGGAGATCTTTGAAAATCTGCTTCTGAGGGGATTTAAAAATGCTTTTAGCCTTTTTTTTTTTTAATATGAATTTTCCTGCTGTTATGTTCATTCCTTACAATAATGAAATGCAGCATGGTAGAACGAGGGAGAGATTCCCTCCAAATAGGTTTGGAAGCTGCACAGCAGCACTTACAAATTGCTTTTTGACTGGAATGATTCAACATCAGAGAGTTGTTAGCTCCAGTCATAGATGCACAGATCTGGTTTGTTAAAGGCTGGCTTATGCCAAACAAATGTTAGCTCCAGTCATAGATGCACAGATCTGGTTTGTTAAAGGCTGGCTTATGCCAAACAAATCAACATCTCGTAGTGTTGCAAGGAAGCTGAAGCTTGGACTTCTTATTCAACAAGAAGAGTCTGCCGGTAAATCCCATAGCATTGCTTTTGTCTTTAAATAAACTGTGGTGTGAATTCAACATAAAAGCAGACATGGAGCATGTCGTCTGATATTTTGGCTTGGGTTCTAATCAACACTGTTTACTCAAGTGAAACGTGGTGATAAATGCTCTGAATCAGAAGCATGTTGTGATGTGCTGGAAAACCCTCAGTGTTAAATTGGCTTTTTCCCCTCCTGACTGAAACTCTTTCATTGTTTGAACAGAGACAACAAAAACCAATTTCGTCTAGGAACCTTGTAAGTCAAACTCTGCATGTATCAAAGCCTATTCAATGAGCCTTAAACTTCTATAACATAACTTGTAAAAAGCAAATTATTTAAAGAAGATTCAAATTGAAAACCCCAAGTTTGATTTTGGTTTTTTGATTTTTTACTTATGTCTCCAATAAACTCTAATCCTTTTGTTTTTCTTTACAGTTTTTCCTAATTTCATTTATGCAAGCGAGAATTGGGAATGCCAGCACAGAGTCACAGAGAAGTGTGAAGGAAAGAAGCCTTTGCATAAGACTTGGTAAGATTTTTTTTTTTTTAATAGTTGCTGTGAATATTTAGAAGACTCATTTCAGCACTGCTGCATTTCATTGTTGGGGCCTCTGGGCAAACCAACCTTCCTTCCTGCCCACTGTCCTTTGTGGCATTCACATCCCTTCACCCAGGATTTTTCTCCTGGAAAGCTGAGAAGCCTCAGAGAAAAGGAAAACAATTATTTTCTCATTTGCTTCTCCTGTGTTGTGCTCATGTGGAATGTGTTTGGAGATTGTTCACCCACAGGTGATTTTTCCATTGGATTCTGCTGTGAGTTGTTTTCACTCTTTGGCCAATCAGGGCCAAGCTGTGTTGGGACTCTGGAAAGAGTCATGAGTTTTCATTATTATCTTTTTAGCATTCTGTAAGTATCCTTTCTGTATTCTTTAGTATAGTTTAGTATTCTTTAATATAATATAGTATCATAAAGTAATAAATTAGCCTTCTGAGAACGTGTAGTCCGATGCATCATTCCTGGCTTTGTCGAGGCTTCCCTGCAAATACAATAGTCCTTTCCTCCTGCTTCCCTTCCACCCCCTTCAGTCCCTTTAAATCCTGTCAATGCATAAGAAACAAACTTCTCCCAGGAAAGCAGCAGAAACACAAATCCTGCAGGACACACTTCTCCAAGCAGGCACAGCCTCCCCAATCAAGCCAGGATCCAAGGAAAGATGAGCCCCTAGTGAAAGCACCAGGGAGGCTGTGGGGCCACTGCTCTGCTCTGTGGGCAGCAAAGCACAAATTCAGAAGTGCTCCATTCTTCCCGTGACATTTATGACCAGGTTTTCCAGCTTAGTTCACTGCCTCGTGCCCAATGTCCCGAGGAAAATCAAAGCCTTTGAAGCCATTTTCCTTGATGATTTTCACTCCAGTCCATATGTTAGAGATCCCTGCAGACCCCAAGCCTGCCCAAAGGATGCATCAGGATGAAGACAAAACCTTAACAAGAGGAATTTGGACTTCTTTCCTACATGGTCATCGAGGTCTTTGGAAAACCTGGTCTTGAATCTCAATTTTCCATCACACAGGTGGAGAATTATCTTTTCCTCTTTTTTTTTTTTTGTACATCCTGTTTGCTTAAACTCCTTCAGGATGGTCTTTGGTGAAGCACAATGGGACCTTAATCCTGGTAAAGTTCATGGATTCTTCAATAATTCAGATAGTGCAGAATCACCTCAGTTCCCACAAATGAGTATCGTGCATATGATGTATTGATTTTTTCCCCCACTTAGTGAGCTTTCTCTTTCTTTTCTCCTTTTTCCTCTGATCTTTTTGATAGATAAAGGAGATACAGATTTATGAGGTCAGAGGCCTAAGAGAGAAAGAGCAATTTAACTGTGCAGCAGTGAAAAAAGAAATCTGAGCAAAAAAAAAAAATATCAATCTGCAAAGGAAGAAAATTCAAAAGATAAATAAGAAGCTGAAGAAAGACCATATTTTAAAGAAAATTCCCCTTTAAAGGAAATGAAAGATGAAAGGCAAATGATCTTTAACATCAAAAAGCACTACCCAAACAGAAGTCCAAGATGATTTTGTTCTAAAGTAGTAAAGAGGAGAAACAATTAGACTTAATATAAAAGAGGGAGAGAGAGATTGAGGGAATTTTAACTCAACAGAAAGCTAAGAAACAGAAATGTAAAGCAAGTGGGAACTAACAGGAAAGGAAGAGCATTTTTAGGCTCAGAAGGCCACACAGCAGAATGTAATTTTCAAGGGACACATCTCTAGTTCCTTGAAACTTGATGGGAATACCTGGTGTGGAAGTTCCAGGTGTTTTTTGACAGATCTGCTCTGTGATTTTTACTGGCAGCTGTCTTTCCCATCAATGCTTTGTCCTCACTTTCCCTCCTCCATTCATCACCAAAATGATGAAACCTCATGGTCCATTCCTGGCCAAGGAAATCCAGACAGCAGCATCTGTGCAGGAAATGCATTTTCACAACAGAGCTCATTTCAGTGGTGACCCCACGCAAGCAGCTGCTTGGCAATAGACTGAAATCCATTTAAAAATGCCAGCTTGAAAGAGCAGCTGAAGGAAAGCTGGGCACGTTCTCCTGAAATATAGGCCAGGGGTAGCTGGGTGCATTTTTTCTTTGAATTTAAAGTGAGGAATCCTACTCAGTGACCTTCCCAGCTAAACTTGTGTGTGACAGAACACATAGAAACCCAGAGGTAAAATAAATGCATTGCAGCCCCCCTCTCCACATAGAAAAATATAAGAATTATATAATTCAAAACAATTTTCAAGGCAATTTTCTATCTCTGCTATCATTCACAGTAGGAGTAAATGTCTCAGCAGTGGGTAAATGATAATCCTTACCAATCTTCGGCAAAAAAATAAAGTAAAAACAAAAAACTCCGATTTTCTTTTGTTAACTGTTTGCCAAAGAGCTTGATTTACTATCATGTAGGCATGAAAAGTGAAGACCAGCCCGTAACCTGTGAAGTGCAGAAAATGAATGTTAAAGAATGCACGATGGGTCCCAGATAGGATGAAATATTAACAATATGGAGTAGGGCTCTGGATATTGCAAGCCTGCTGCCATCTAATTAAGAGTACATTGTCTCCTAGCAGAGTTATAATACAAATGGTTCTCCTGCATATTCCCAAATTCTCTTCTTACCACATACCCAAAGTGCCTGTGAAAATTCAGCATATATTGTTGTTTTGACCTAAAAAAAAAAGTCCTTTATTTTTTGTTCCATGGTGAAGATGAGCTCTCACAGGAATTCAAAATAGAACTTTCAGAGTTTCTTTTTTTTGCTCTGCTGCATAAGGTGATTGAAAATAAGTGTTGAAAACAGTTTTGCTTAGAATTTTTTAGAGTTGGTGTCTTTCCAAACATCCTGAAAAGCAGAACCTCTGGACATGTTCAGACCTGGGTTTCTAGCAAATATGTCCCTGGACCTGTGTCTTCCAGGATGCTCTAAATGTTTGGAATTTGGGTAGATGTCACATTCAAAACCATCTCAAGTTTCGCTTGACTCACACAAGCACTCCTCTCATGGTTCTTTATAACAATTTTAGATCTTTCAGGAATAAATCCTTCCCTGTGAGGGTGATGAGGCCCTGGCACAGGATGCCCAGAGCAGGTGAGAAATTTTTTTTTTCCTGATCTTTTCAATGAGATAAAAAGTTGGAGAGAACTTGGCTGTTCTGCAGGGTAAAGAACTGAAAGCTGTGAGCTAACCTCCAAGTATGGGACTGTGTCTGAAAAGAATTTGTGAAAAGAGAAGGGTCTGAGCGCTTGAAGTCAAAGCTTGGAGGTGTAGAAGACGGGATTACAAGTGACCTCACCCCTGATCACAAGTCACAGCTGTACTAATTACCAGAGAACAGCCTTGCCCTTAATGGGAGACAGCTGTGACTAATAAAGATAAATGTGATAAGAGGGGTGGGTCGGGCAGTCAGGGAGAGCCCGGAGGAAGGGGATCTAGAGGAGGTGCAGGAGCCCTGAGGAAGAAGGAACCATCCAGGGAGACATAAAGAAGAACAAGACAAGGAAGGGAGCTGCTGCTGCAGAAGATCTGCTGTGAGGTCAGTCTGGATCTGATGGAGTTGGAGCCTGCAGTCACAACTGAGCCGGGTGAAAGCCTGTGGTCAAAGGCAGTAAGGAAACACTCCCAGTGATACTCCAGCAGGAATAGTCAGCAGTCAGTCTGTCAGAGAAGCCAACAGTAAGAACTTGCTGTAGTCAGAGTCAGGGTGGCTGAACTGTAAAGAAGAATAAACCAGGACCCTTTGAGAGCCTGTCTTGGCTCATTTCTACCCCTAACGAGAGGTCTGCTGCAACACCTGAGAGTAACACAGGATATCTGAAGGCAACCAATAAAGAAAGAATGATCTACCTATTGTGTAGATTATCTGGGCTGCAGCACAAGGGAAAAGGAGAGCAAAGGCCACCTTCACCTACAAACTGGAGAGGTAATGGACACTCCCTTACCCGGATCTATGCTTTACAGGCACAAGAGTAATTTGTAATATAGTCCACCTTGAACTGGGAATTAATGATGATACCTTTAGGTTTTCAGTTTTTCTGTTCTTTGGTGTGCAGCTTTTAGCTTTATATTAAGTGCCACTAGGATCTTTTCACAGGGGGTGAAGACAAAATAATCCTGTTCCAGCTGGAGACTCAAGGACAAGCTCTTTGAACTTCAGGCCCAAAGCACAAACAACATGGAAACAGGAGAGTGGGCAAGCAAGGAGGATGAGACTTCATAATTTGAAGCTATTAATTGGGCAGCTAACTCCTATATGCAAATGGACTAAAACTTATAAAAATGTGAGATCTCATGGCCAAGCCCTCTTTTGCTTCCATCTTGGAGCCGTCCAGGCAGAACCATGACCATGGCTCTGGTACTGCCAGGCTGTGGCCTTTGGAAGCCCTTCAATAAATATCAATAAATATCCATTCTATTGCTCTTAACTCCGTCTGGCGTCTGTTCCAGCTCCTTAGGGCATCAATGGGATAATGATCTGCCAACTTGATCATCTTTTTGAGAGCATCATAAGTGAAGATGAAGCTGATTAGGGAGGAAAATTTGTCTTTGGTGAAGCAGGTGAAGTACTTGACCAGGTAGCTGGCATTGAATGAGACACTGGAGGGCTGACCAGAGGCAGAGCTCCAGGTGGTCAAAATCATTATCCCTGCAACAAAAGATCACACTTTTAATATTGACAACAAATGGTGTTTAAAAACCATGAGCAAGTCTCAAAGATATAGCAAAGCTGGCTGATAAATAATGCCTTAAAACTGGACATTTACTTTCCTGCCCTGAAGCAGCAGTTGGGTTGCATTTGCAAATTGTCCTTCTCATCAGAGATTTTTCTCCTTTCCTCAATGCCACATTTTCCATTCCTTGGTTTCACCTGCTGGTATCAAGTGTCAGCACTTCAGCAGTGTGATCCTACACAGGGCATGGTGTGACCCAGGAGGAGCCATTTTATCACTATAAAATCATAATTACTGCAGTCAAAGCTTCCTGTACATCTGTCAGTGCAGACCTTGCATCAGAATTTTTTTCAGAAGGTCATTTTCCTGTCATCACCTCACCTGAGTGTTTCACACAGTGCTGCCTTCTCCTTCACAAGGTACAGCAGGGAATGTTTCAGGCCTTGCCAGATGGCAACTTCAGGACTGGGAATACTTAGGTGATAGTTTCTCAGTTAATTCCATGTTTCTGTTGTGTGTTTCCAACCACCCCTGTCAGACAATCACTTTCTCCCTCTTTAAAAGGAGCATTCAATTAATTTAAAACAAGAAACCAGACTGCAGCTTCACTACAAAGTCTGAATGTATGCAATAATAAATCACAAGCATATTTTTTTTGCATCTTCCATCTAAGGATGCAAAGAGTTTCACAAAAAATCTTGTGTTTGAAGCAATGCTTATGAAAGTGTTAACTTGAAAAGGCAGCTCTGAAAAAGAAACTGCTGGGGATTTGCCTATGATGAATGTAGGGCAAGATCAGCCAGGGAGATTTCACAGTATTTCTCTCATGATCTATTAAATGTGGTTGTCATGTCCCATCTGACACAATCTCATTTCCAACTGACTTTGTTGGGGATGGTCAGGGCTTCTCATGGAATTGAAGGCAGACTCAGCCCCTGGCACTGACTGCACCTTCCAGGAAAGCACCAGGCTTTGACTGAAGGCCTGACATGGATCACAGCCTGCTCTCCCCAGTGCAGAATTGTGTCAGGTGAATGAACAAGAATTTCCTCTTAAGAAATTCTTAAGAGGAACAAGAACAAGAATTTCCTCTTAAGAAAGATTATTAGGCTAAAATTGTTTTGGTAAGAAACAAAATACTTGCAGATGATCAGCTGAGGTGTGTGGCACAAAGAAATCCAAACGCAGATCTTGCCCAAAGTGTCCCAAAACTTTTTGCACTTACAGGAAAACACTCAAATATCTGGATTTCAGTTTTGTTTTCTCATGGTCAGGGACTCTCTGATTCCTATGGTGACAAGTAACAGCTCACTTGTTATCCTTGCTATCCATGGGAACACTTTACAGCAAAAAGTGTGGCTTTGTTCATTAGCATCCCAGTCATGAGTCATCCTTATCCTCTTTGTCATCCTAATAAGGGTATTTGAACAGGTGTCTTCTCCAGAAGGACATGACAAATCTCCATCCCTTACAGATACAAAATTCATTAGACATTTCTTTTTCTTTCAGAAATCCATTTACCTTTTGTCACAGACCAGCAGTTTTTAATTCTTGGTTTCCTACAGCTCTTTATCTTCTCTCAGACTGGAGAGGAGTACATGCCTGTCTGATCCAGCAGAAGCTGCTCTCTCCAGCGAACTGGAAGAAATATGGCTAAATCAGAATTCAGCTGAAAAACAGGACTTCCTGTAGCTACTGCAACACTGATTTTTGTATTGTTGGGAAGACCTAAGATGCTGTTTTGTTTTGGTGCTGCATTGTTTCGTGTAAGATGAACCAGACAACTGTTTCTTTGCTACCTCTGCTCAGACTTTTCTTACCTCTTCCTACAAGGTGCCAAATTAACTCACAATTAACAAAAATTGTGAATTTTCAGATATAAGCTGCTCCAGGTGATGGCCTATTTTTGGCAGAAATCCTTCTTTTTTCTTGACTAGGTGATGAAGTTCCTAATATCATAACTTCAGCAAATGCCCTCAGTCAAATAGTCTGGGGGTTGTGGGGGAACCCCTTTTTTACTTTGGGATATTTTAGCTGTTTATGTGAAGTGTAGTCCAGAATACCAAAAATCAGAGCCCAAGTTCCCATATGTAGAGACCATGGTGTAGGGATTGGGCAATCATGCATTCTGTAGGGCTGAGTTACTGATGATGAAGAACAACCAAAGCAGTTTGAAGGACACAGCAGTGGGTGCAGGAGCTAATCTGAAGTACCTGATCTCACTGACCAGCTCTTCTTCCTTCCAAGACACTGTTCCTCCCCAAAAAGCAGAGTTTGGAGTAAAGTTGAGTGTGGGAAAAAGGGAGGGTTGGAGGGAAGGTGTTTTAAGATTTGGCTTTCCATCTTATTATCCCCACTCTGATCTGAGAGGCAGTAAATCAAACCTCTTTCCCCTGTCAGATTTTCTCTCCAGATTGTTCTGTCCAGCTGAGGAAAGAAGTGACACAGTGGCTTTGGTGGGCACCTGACATCCAACCAGGGTCAACCTGTCACAGACAAAACACTGGAAAAAGAAATCTCAGGCTCCAGAATCACTCATGAGTCTTTTCCCAGTCTCCTTGACTGTCCTGTGTGTGTTCATCCACTTAACCCCAGGATTTTGGTTTTTAATTTCCTTTTTCAAAATTTGTGATTTTACTTAAGAGTATGATAAAATTAGCCTCTTTCCAGTGTTACCAAGATGGAAGAAGTTACAGCTCAAGCACATAGTTTATGATGGGAAAAAAAAAAAAAAAAAAGCTGAATTTGCTAAGCCATGTGGGAGAAATGTGCTTTAATAAGGGCATAGACCCAAGCCTGCCAATTCCCTGCTTGAATTTCTCTCCATGTCAGCAAAGCACATTTGTGTTGAACTTTCTCAATTGCCTCGAGTTCAGCCCAGGATTAGCCTTTGCACTAATCTTCAAAATTGGGAATGGCCTTAACATTTCCTGCAAGGTGAGCTCAGACACAAATACGGGAATCATTTGAATGCCATAAATTACCTCCACTCTCCTCTGTGTGTGTGTGTGTGCATGTGTAAGTGAATAAACAAGTCCTTATGTTTTGTCCTTCTAAAGAGCCTGTGGAAGGTTTCTTTAGTGCTAGGCTGGCAAATGGAGTGTTTAATTTCCTAGAGATGCAATCAAATTCTGCCTGCTTCTAAATCCCCCTCCTCCTCTTCAGCTTCCTCTCCCTCACTTCACATTGTCTCTGAGTGAACAACACATTTGTGTCCTCTGCCTCCAGTTATGTGTATGATGAATTTTGAAGCAGGTGAATATAAAATATATGAACAATGAGCAAAGAATTCAGTAAGGTTTTCCATGGCCTAAAGTAAACCAACCAGTTTGTTACTGCATCCAAGCTTTGACCTCACATGAGCAAACAAACTGATTCCTCAAAAATGGGAATCTATTAATGCACAAAAACCTCAATAAAAAGTTATGACCCTTATCCTAACCCTCTCAGATCTAGTCCTACAAGGCCTCCCATGCCAGGGCTCTGCAAAAATTTTATTCTTAAATTGTAAGCACAACACATTCCTAGCCATTCCTAGTTCTAGAGCAGTTCCCAAAGAGGAAGGAATATATCTGATAAGTCAAATAACCTGACAATCATTCTCAAATTCCCCTGTGTATATAAAATTATGTTTAATTTCTACTTCTGCCAAAAAGCATTTAATCATGTGCTTAACTCTGAGTCCCATCAAAGGCAATTACTGTCAGGAGGACACAATTTGGTATTTTTGTACGCAGCCCATCTACAGATTCAATATTGAGGTAAGTGCTTGCTTAACATTTTCAGGAGCACTCAAATACCAACAAATTCTGGATTCAAATATATTTGATGGACACAGACTTGGTTTTCTGAGTTACAAGCTAGTTAGACAAAACAGTCTCTGTGAACTTGTATTAAAAAAATGTTCAATATATTTTAAAGTCATCATAGATAACTGCAATAATTTATAAATGTCAGGTTAGTCAAGGCAAGCACTAAATCAGATGTGGGCAACAACCTATAGGGACTATGGTGGAACAAGTGACTTTGAAGCTAAGCCTATCTATATTCAATTTTAAAACATAGTTTTTAAACTGTTACAGCAAAATAACCTGTTCATCTCAAGTTTAATTAAAAAAAAAACATTGCAACAGTTGATTCTTATAGTGAACAAAATTACAAACCACTGATAGTCCAAAGAGAACTACAAGAGAATTAGGAGTGAATAATGAGCTGGATTCATCTTGGCTGTGTGATGAGCTCAATGGCTTTCCAAGGAAAGTTTCTTACATGGAATTGCATATGCTTGATCCTCCTGCCATACCCAACACATTTACCTGTTCAGAGATGGGCTGGAAAGAGTCTGCAGTAAAAGTCTGGTGAGAAGCAGCTGAGGGAGCTCAGCCTGGAGAAAAAGTGACCAAAGGGAGATATTATCAATTTCTACAATTCCCTCACAGGAACAAGTGAGGGTCAGGCTCTGATCCCAGGCAACAAGGGACAGGACAAGGGGAAATGGCCTCAAGTTGTGCCAGAAAAGGTTTAGAGTGGATACTGGGGACAATTTCTTCACCCAAAGGTCATCCATCCACGGCACAGGTTGTCCAAGGCAGTGGTGGTGTCCCCATCCCTGAGGGAATTTAGGAGCTGTGTGGATGTGACACCTGGGGACGCAGGTTAGTGGTGGCCTTGGCAGTGCTGGGGGAATGGTTGGGCTTGATCATGAAGGTATTTTTCAATATAAATGATTCTATTCTTCTAATTCCTTACTATTTGGCTTAGCACCATGAAGCTGCAGTGCCAGAAGATGATTATCCTGTGTTGGATAATCACACTGAAAAGAGAAGATCTTCCCTGAAGAATTTAAATGTAAAAAGAGACGAAAAACAAATGAACACAATTACCCTGGGAAATAGAGGAAAAGAAAGGGATAGAACTGTTCAGTATCACAGGACACAGCCTCAGGAGGAGTTTTGAATTTTCAGAGAACAGAAACACATCTGGGAACACATGTACCTGTCACAGTTACATTTGCCCTGACAGCATCGTGCCTTCCTGTCTGTCTAAAGGGTAGGAAAACATAACCTGTGGATCATCCCTATTCCTCTTTTCCAGCTGCTCTGCTTTTTAGCTAAAACCAGATGCTGGGCATGTCTAAACACACCTAAGACAGCAAAAGCTAGGAAAGGTGAGTCCCAAGTGATGGGAATTTGAATGAGAGTTTTGCCTCAAAGTCAAGCAGAAAAGGCTGGTATTTTGCTTGTTTTTATTTTAAGGTATGCTAAGAAAACTTTTCCCTGCCCTCAACCATGATCCCTTGCCTGAAGGATGACACAGGCTGTCTGAATTTGTGGATGAGCACAAGAATGGCTAAAGAGAATGAAGATAGCCCAGAGGGATCACAGGGAAGGATTATAAACTCAGTTCTGACCTTGCTGAGCTTGAATTGGTACATAATCACAAAGAAGATGATGTGAGTTTGCCTGGAGGGAGACTGGAGTAGAGAGATCAATCTCTGAGCTTCCTGCTTAGAAAGGATGAACATTTTTCCTGAGATTTACCTACTGGTGATTGACAGATCAAGATCAAAAAAGACCAGGAAAATGGCCTTATAAAACACAGAAAATATTTACCAGATGGGAGGAGGAGGAGGTAGGGTGGAAACAAGAGTCTGAATTCATTATTTGAATTTGGGCTTGCTTGATGACACCATGGCTACAGCTAAACTTGCTCTGGTGTAATCTCCTCTTGTCATTGCAGAGGGGTTCAGAGGGGCTCTAACGCAGCTCCAGCAGGAAGAAATTGGGAAGTCTTTCTGGAAATCCAGGTGGTTTCCAAGTGTTATAATGCTTGCTCTTTGAAAGCAGAAGGTGCTCAGACTAAAAACACATTCATCTGTTGAGTGAAGTGTTTGCTTTTATTCTTGGAGGCTGTTTCTCTACTGCGAAATTAAAAGGGGAAGGAAAAAACTTCTGCAGACCTGAACTGCCTTTTTGAGGTTTGATATGAGGTAATCTAAGTGCATTTTGGAACACAAAGCCTGCTGAGGCAGCTTTGGGGATCTGTGCAAGGTGGAAAAAAGTTCACACATTCTCCATACAATGTCCCAAGAGCAGCCCCATCCCCAGACCACTCCTAAACAACCAGTAATGATAAAAGAGCACCATGGACATGTCAGTGATTAAACAGCTTGGGCAGCCGTGGATTAGCACTTTAACACAATTCCCTGCTGCATTTGACGTCAAACAGCTCCAGAAGCTGGAGGGGCACTCCCTAGCATTGGTCTGCTCTTATCATTTATTCCCTGAGGAACAAGAAGAGCAAAATCCTCTCACATAGAAAATTTAAAAAATCAACAACCCAGAATTTTTGTGAATCAAATTCTTCAGTGAGAGTCACATCTTTCTTCTGATCCATCCCACTTACTTAAAGGCATTTAAGTAAGAGGACTATATTAAGACTTAAGTGATCTTAGGTTTTCTCCATAGTCAAAAGAAGGAAGCAAAAGAAATTAATTGTTTAGAAAGTTTAAATTCACCCTTCAAGAAGCATTTTTTCTATACGATACTTGTTTATTTGTTCAGTATTTAGTCAAACTGTAATACAATATATAATTACAAAATAATTACATTTCTGCCTATTCCACCAGTGATTACTGTTCTGCAGCTATCAATCAACACCAGTTATAAAACACTGATTGCTAAATAACTTGAATACTGGGATAAAAAACTACCAACCCATGAGGCAAAACTTTCTGTCTGTCAGAAGTAGGGAATAGAAGTTGGTTTTCACATTCACAAGCACTGCTAACCCAAGAACAAGCAAATAAAAGAAGCTCATCATTATATAGCAGGTGTTGGATAAATGCTAGAAAAGGGAAAAAACCATCCAATGCAGAGAGGAAAAAAATGTTAATTTAGTTCTAGGTCGTGGGATAGGGATGAAAACTTAAGTAAAGGCAATAACAGCACAACTAATGCATGTATAATAAAAGATAAAACAACATTAGCAGAGGTTGTCTGCAGAGAAGCTAGATTTTACATTCAAAAACTTTAGAAAGGGGAAAATGAAATCCCAGCAAATACAGAGGAAAAAGAGGAACACAAATGGATGAGGAAAAGGTTCTACCTGGTCAGGTGGTCCCACTGCTGATTTCCTCTTGAGGGAACCACTGGCACTGTAGGCAGGAGGAGGTGATTTGTATTCAGCTGTGCAGAGGTGAAGGCATCTTCTCCACCCGGCAGCAAGGGCAGGGTCTCTGCTACTTCACAAAAGTAGATCAGAGCAGCAGCATCTCCCAGTTTCCACTGAACCAGCTGTAAGTTTGTGTTTTTGCAGTTTACAGCCACATAACCCAGCCCTGAGCTGCCCCAGCCCTGCAGGACCTGCAGCCTCCTCACCATCCCTTTTTGTACTCGCCCCAGACCTTGCCCTTACACCTCATCAGGACACACAGCTGCTGGGCCCACTTGTGTCCATCCCAGGGAAGGAGCTGGGAATCTGTGCCAGGGGCAGCTCCTTGCTCCTGATGAGCTGGGCAGTGTTAATCACTGACTGATTAATTAATGCCTGGAGGTGTTTACCCAACACCACCTCCAGGGAGATCAGGGTTAATAACAGATCTGTCACCTTGCAGCTCCTGTAAAAGCCTCTCAATGGCATTTTTCATATTTTTAGTATGGCTTTTTAATACTCCCAGTCTTATCAGTCTAGGAATGCTTGATCTATGGATTTTTATTGGTGTGTACTTAGAAATAAACATCCACAAACACAAGCACACACCCATGTATGCAGGAGAGAGGCATTGGGCACTTTAGGTCACTGGAAATTTTATTTGCTGCCATCAATCCCATCCTTTTCCATGTGGTCTCATTTCCTGGCTTTTTTTATCAATACAGAACAATCACAGAAAATAGAATAGAATAGAATAGAATAGAATAGAATAGAATAGAATGGAATGGAATGGAATGGAATAGAATAGAATAGAATATCCTGGGTTGGAAAAGGACCCACAAGGACCAGCAATCCAGCTCCTGGTCCTGCACAGGAAACCCCAACAATCCCACCCTGTGCCTGTCCAAGAATTTCCTGAGCTCTGCCTCTCTGGGGTGCCTGTTCAGTGCCCAACCACCCTCTGGGGGAAGAACCTTTTCCTAATATCCATCCTAAATCTTCTTTTTGTGCCATTTCCCTGAGTCCTATCACTGTTCACAGAGAGCAGAGATTGGTACTGCCCCTCATGAGGATGTTGAAGGATGACTCACAATGAGTCTCCTCTCAGTTTCCTTTTTCCCCAGTTTGAATAAACCTCCTATGGGTTCTCCTCTAGACCCTTCACCATTTCTGTGGCCTTCCTTTGGGTTTTATAGCTTTATATCATTAATTCTGATCATATCCTTATGACATGGCTCAGAAAAATGGACTGGCCAAAATCTAGATGATGGTCAAAATCTGCCTGGTTTCTAACTGCATCGGCATCCTGAGCTAGGTCTCTACATGATATTGCATAAAAATATCAATGTTTCTGACAAACCTGGCAGTGCCAGTTGGAAATAAGGACAGGAATATGAGGCTGGGGGTGAAGGAGACAGAGTGGCTGCAGTAACTCTGGTTTGGCTGAGCTAAAACCCCACGGGACTGTGTCACATTCACATTCTCTGGTAAAATCCCTTCACCCAGGATTTTTCTCCTGAGAAGCCTCAGAGAAAAGGAAAACAATTCTTATCTCATTTGCTTCTCCTGTGTTGTGCTCATGTGGAATGTGTTTGGAGATTGTTCACCCACAGGTGATTGTTCCATTGGATTCTGCTGTGAGTTGTTTGCACTCTTTGGCCAACCAGGGCCAAGCTATGTCAGGACTCTGGAAAGAGTCAGGAGTTTTTATTTTTTTTTTTTTATATTTAGTAAGTATCCTTTCTGTATTCTTTATTATAGTATAGTATCCTTTAACATAATATATTATAATAAAATAATAAATCAGCCTTCTGAGAACATGGAGTCAGATTCATCATTCCTCCCTGCCCTGAGGGTACCTGCAAATACAACAGGACTGCACCCTTAGAGTGCATTTAGGGTTGTACAGTGATTTTCAGGCATCCTCACACACACACACAACACATGGCCAAAAGCACGCATGGAAACAAATGTGGCAGAAAACCTTGCACAGACAGAAAAAGTCCTGTTTATAAAATCTTCAGGGAATGACTGTACCTTGTCTGTCTGTAAAGTTTCTAGCACACAATGGCAGCCAAAGCAAAAAAAGAAATAAATTAAAAGATTAGCAGGCCTCTGGAACAGAGGAGGTTGGCAAGGGAAACGTTCCCAACGTGAAAAATTTCGCATGTGGAAATGAGGTGTGAGCCCTGCCATCAATTTGAGCCGTGGCTGATGGAACACAGCGAACGTGCTGGGGTGAAGGCAGCACAGACAGCAGCAGATGATTCACAGCCACATGGTTCTCATCCTATTAAATGGAAATGAGGCATCCACAGCCCAGGCTGCAGCTCAGGGGAGGATTGTGGCTGTGGCCATGAAATAGCAACGGGTGAGGGATTTTCCAATTATTCAAACAGCAGTGAGTGAGAAGGGCTGCCCTCCAGCTCAGAAATGCCACGAGTGCTGTGGCCACAGTCACACTTCCAGGGGAGTTATTCACAAAGTTTTATAAGCTGCCTCACTTCAGCACACATTTAACCCTTAACTTTAGGGCTATGGGATACAGGGACTCATCTAGATCCATGAAAACATCTCCCCTCCCCAGGAAAAATGTTATATCATACTGTAAACCCACACTGTGTGTCTTCTGGTTAAGGTTCAGCCTTCCAGAACCAGTGAAAAGTTCATCAAAATCAAGGGAAGTACTTCTAGTCTTCCATCATCTTTGGATCAGGCTCCTAATGAAAGCATCTGTTCCAATGCATCTTCAGGTGGTGGTGTTTGAGGGTCCCCAGGATGAGGGGAGAGACGAGGATCTGACTCCATGGTTCAGAAGGCTGATTTACTATTTTATGATATATATTATATTAAAAGAAAATGCTATACTAAAACTACACTAAAGAAAGAGAAAGGAGACATCAGAAAGCTAAACAAGAATGAATAATAAAATCTTGTTACTGACCAGAGAGTCTGACACAGCTGGACTGGGATTGGTCATTAATTAAAAACAATTCACATGAGACCAATCAAAGATGCACCTGTTGGTGAGCAACCTCCAGACCACATTCCAAGCAATCAGATAATTATTGTTTACATCTATTTTCTGAGGCTTCTCAGCTTTTCAGGAGAAAAACCCTGGCGAAAGCATTTTCATAAAATATCACAGTGACATCTTCACAATGGGGAAAACAGCTCCAGAGGAAGTTTGAAACCATTGCTTCTCTTTGTCTTTTGTTTTTCATCCTTCACCATCTGCCCTGCTTTCTTCAAGTGAGAAATAAGAAGTTTTTAGGCGCCACAGAAAGAGATGACAGGTGAGGCACAGCTCATGTGGACATGGATCACTCCCTGTTCCTACCAGCATGAGCAAACCTGTGATGGCACTGGAGCAATGAGTGTGGCCTGAAGCTATTCCTGAGGTGATAAATTCTCAGCAGAAATGTGGGTACAAACATACAAAGGTAATTGCAGACATTGCAAACCCACCTTTTCATTTTCCTCATCCTGCCAGGTACTGAGCAGTGCTGAGGCAGTTTTCTGTGAATTTTGCTCTTTCTTCCCTTGGGAAGTTGCTGCCAAAGCACAAGCACTTGAAACTAACAAAAACAAGCATCTTCCACAGAAATAAGAGAGCTACATAAAGTCAAATCAAATAGTCTTTAAAAAAATAGAAAGAAAACACCTCCCACGAAGCTTGACCATCCTCAGCTCAAAATTCATATAATCAGGAGAAATACTGAGATTCTCTTTTCACAGCTTGTTCTGTTCATCTGTCTCAAGTGTGGCAAAAGGAATTGCTGAGGATTTGTTGCTGCTCTTTCCTTCTATGTCTGTTCTGCCACCTTCACTGATTGAATCATACATTGGATTTTTTTTTTCCCCAAAAGGAAACAGTTCAATTTAGGCTCAAGGCTTGACTCAAAGCCAGCAGAAGTCATTCAGTGGGGGAAAAGATTTTCAGCCTTTTCTTTTATTCCACCTTCACAGACCACATAGGACTGCCCTGCCAGGCCATCAGTGTGTAATCTACACAGGGATGCATAGATACTGAAATACAGGTACTGAAATAGCATTTCTGTAGCTTTTTGTATAACTTCTTGTATCTGCAGTCAATGAGAAAACATCCCACCTATTTGAAATCAATATCTAAGGCTGGGATCAATGGTGCTTCCACAGGTGCCAAAATCCTTTTCCATTGACTGCTGAGAACCCAGACAATGAGCATAGGTCAGGCACTGAGCTTTTAGATGCATCCACATAAATCAGTAGACTTTGCTGTAAATTCTCAAGGCTTTCTGCTGCTTTCAGTAGTCAAAGGAGAGCTTTCCCTTCCTCTGATACCCTCAGCAGGACAGCCTGTGAATCAATCTGCATACTGCTTCACAGACAAAAAATGATATTTTTTTTCCTGCATTCAGCAGGAGGGGCTGTAAATGTTGTCCTCTTTGCTTTTCTTCCCCTTGGGCAGCAATAGGTGAGGCAGTGAGATCTTAGCAGAGAGGAAATGAAGTTCAGGAACACTCAGTAGAATGTCCTGTCATGTCATGTGGGAGGGATGAAAAGTTAAACTCTCCCCCGCGGTGGAGATAAAAATTTGTCAGGTTCTGGTATGGATGAACATCCCTGTTACCAGGGACATCATTTTCAAATACTGTGCTGCTCCAGGTCATT